TTTATACTTTGTTAATGTAGTGTGTGGATAATGATTTCTTTCTTCTGTTATTTTATATTTTTATTTTTTTTTTTTTATTTTTGCAGTGTGAATTTTTCATATGTGTTGTGCTGACACTATTGGGCTATATTCCTGGGATTATCTATGCTGTCTATGCCATTGTTGTCAGAGGCAGCCAATCTGAAGAAGATGATGAATATTTTCAACCTATAAATCCTTAGCTCCCTCTATTTTTTCTTCTTTTTTTTTTTTCCATTAATAAATTCAATTCGCAGGAGCTGTGTTTTTGTCTCTTTTTAAGTTGTTATTTTTTTTTCATATTTTATTTGAATTTTATCTAAAAACAAAAGGAATAAATAAATACTATACACTTCTTTCTTGACCACGTGTGTTTTTTTGCGGATTATATGATCAAGACAAGATGCGAGAGAGCTTGCAAATTATGAATGGTCAGGTCAACCCCCGACTCGGAACTGGAACCGGTCCGGGTGGGCTATTTGGACCGGATAACAATAAACCCGATGAAACCCGACCTTGACCCGACCGACCCGGGTCAGTGACCCAGCCGGGTAAACTCGGTTGCTCAGAAATGTCTAAACAGAAACAACTATACAATAATACACCATAACATTCTTCTCTTCAGAACTGTTGCTCAGTTGCAATTAGGGCTCACAAATTTAACCAAAAATTTAATCAAAGTCTGAGACAAGACAAAAATAAATAAATAAATAAATAAAATCAAAAACTAATGAAGTACAAAACAACCTGGTCCTCAACAAAGGGACCTTTCAGAACCAAAATCTTTCTTATGTGTGCTAAATTTAGCCGTCTTACTCTCTCTAATGGAGGAACACATTGAACTGTGACACCTGAAAAAAGAAAACGAAAAGATATATACAGCAGCCCACAAAGCATTAATCCCCTCATTCTTCACAGCGAATCCAAAACCCGTATAAATATTTCACGTTCGATCGATGAGTTTTCTAACCGAGCCACACGAGCAGACTGTAATCCTAAAACAGGCTCGCCTGCAAGTCGAGCAGCTCATTCCCAACAGGTCCCGAGCCGACAATCTTAACAGCCGCATCAAATATCGCCTTCCGAGAATAATCACCACCCACTTTCCCCAAAATATCCCCCATATCCTTAAAATCCAATCCTCCTCCACCCAAAACCAGGTTCCCAACAATCTCGCCAAAATTGCCCGGCGCTTTCGGCAAATCAATTGCAATGTCTTCGAGCGAGGCTGCATACAGCTGGCATCCATAAGCAACATCACTCGGGTTAATCACCTTCTTCTCGAGCAAATACTTGATGAGCTTCGCCACTTGCTCGACACATGGCGGGCTTTTCTCCAGCCCAATGGATATTGCCTCCTTGACAACTTCCGGATGGTAGGCCGGGGACTTGAGTTCTTCGACACATTGCAAGGCTTCGTCTAGAAGCATCACACTAAAATACTCCTCGAGAAGCGAGACCGTTTTCTTCTTGAGCTCGTCGGGGTTCGACTTTGCAGCCACCGGAGCTGCCGGTCTAAATGGGCCGGCCAGTGGGCCACCGGCACCAGCCAAGAAGCTGCTGGAGGACTTGTCGACGAGCGGTGACTGAATCTGGCCAGAGGTCTGGGAGTTGGCGGCCGGAGGTCTGGGCATGGATCGAGAGCGGGGGATTTCCCAGTTGTCATTGTCCAAGCTGGGCATCCCGGGCATCTTTCGGGTCCCGGGCATGCCGGGCATCATGCCACCCAGGCCAGCTCGGTTCATCGGGAAGCCACCAGGGCTAAAGTTGCCCGGCCCACCGGAGGAGATGGCCCGGCTGTTGCGGATGACAGCTGTAGCACCAGGGCGTAGACCGAGATTCTTCTCAGCCTCCGAGTGAATCTCAGTAATGGTTTTAGCTTTCACCTGAAAAAAAATATAAATAAATAGAGAAAAAAAAATTGTAAAATTGTTCAAAAGGGATGGCTTGGTAAAAAAACAAAAAGGGAGTTTGTGAGGCAGTTGAGAACTTGAGATGTTTATATTACCTCCTCACGTCTCGGGACCCAATTATTGGAGCGAAGGTCGAGGACATCTCGGACCATGAACCTCAACCGGGCGACGAGTTGAGGGTTTGTCGACAAATCTCTCAAACGGTTGAAGTAAATGTCATTGATACGTTTGGATTTTTGGTTCTCGTCGAGCTGTTTGCCGATGGTGACGAAGAATTGGCAGATGGCCTCGACGTTTTCTTCGGCGGGGCAGATCTTAGTGTCTTGTCCCAATAGTTCCTGCTCGGGGAAAATCCATAAGTGGAAGCAGTTAGTAAAAAAAAAAAATCAAACCAGGAGACAAAAACGAACCCATTTGATACAAATTCGAGAACCAACAGAGTTCACAAGGTAAAAACCTGAACAATATGATGAACGATTTTTTCCGGAACCATCTTCTGCTTAAGAAGTTCTCCAATCAGGCGGATATTCCCAAGTGTGCGGAGTTTGACCGAACGCTCTTTATCCCTTCGTTCCTGCTCCTGGTCGGGGGCAGTCATCTGCCTGATCTCTTCCCTCAATTTGTCGGCACCTTCAAAAGCCTCTTGGCAGTTGTTCAAGAGGACTCGTTTAAATGTAATTTCTTTTCCACCGGGCTCATCCGATGGGAAGGGAGGAAGCTTCTCGTTAAGATCCGAGCACAGCAGGGCATACATTGGACAGAAGGTTGGCTCCAGGACAGCCTTGTCGAATATCAATGAGATAACTCCCTGCAGAGAAGATAAAAGATTATCGAATGATTTCTGGGAAGCTATAAAATGTCCGAAGTTTGACCTACTCCAAAATCAATATTATTATGTACCTTCAGAATATCTGCCGATGTTATTCCAGAGTCGATCAATTGGCCCTTTAGAACATCAAATTTCTCAGGAGTAAGCTTATTCAGTATGCTGCAAGAAACATAAAATTTTCAGCACAAAGTTCATTACAAATAAAGTCATAAACCTAATGAATAATGCATTTGAGAACCAATAAAGGATGTCTCAACCAGTAATCAAAAGATCATCGGTTTAGACTTTTTAAATTTTTTTGTGTAAATTTCAATGAGATCAATCGAAAAAAGAAGTTAAAATCAGATGATGTGACAGGACATGAACCATCATAACTATGCATGCACGTGACTTGAGGAATCACAAACAAGGTTCTATGGGAACTAAAAGGGACTAAGAGAATGTTACACAGCGAATGAAAAAAAGAATTACCCCTTTACTGTTTTTAAAATACGGTCCTCGTCGGACAGAGTCGCCCTTCGAGCGGACCATGGTACATCAGCTTTGATTAGAGCAGCATTTCCCGCCTGTTTCATTAACAATATATAGGGATGGTAAAAAGTATTGAATAAAGTAGAGTTTGGTTCTGAAAATAACATGGTAAAATTTTCAGAAATTCTCAATATTACCATGACTGCACACACATAATCAACATAAGAGGTTAGTAAGGCATTGCAGCGATTCCCATGCAATGAATATTCCTTTTGACAAACTTACCTACATATATACACTAGGAAGCTACATCTAATAACCCTTTCATATTCATCACAATGGGATACTATACAAAGAAACGAACACAACCAATATAGTAACCTGATCAACGGATAATTGCAAGGCTATAGAGAGATAGGACCAGCGAGAAGTTATGGTGGAAGGATGTATAATATAATGACTTTGCAAGTTATATTCTATGACACTAATCATCAGCACCAGAAATGTAAAAACCAGAATACTTTAATTGGAAAAAAATTACCCCTAGGCTGGACGAGATTTGAGCTCTTGAAAACTCAGAGTTGAATTGGTCTTGCTTATTGAATTGATTTGCATCCTGTTGCCTAGGATCAAATCGCCCACCAAAGTCTCTGTCCCTTATTGCCTCCCATGACCTCTCCTCTGTCGGGGAAGGAAATTGTGCCGATCGATTACGCCAGTCACGGTTGTCCGGTTCAGTATAACGACTCTGGGATTGAGTCGGGGGCTACAAAAACAAAAATTATTTAACAAAATCATCACAGGAACAAATCAAATATAGAAGCAATTAAAAAAGATAAAACATGGAAAAAAATGTAAATCTATATTTGAAAGTGGCCTTTGAAAGCAATTACCATATAAAACAAACACTATAACTTACATTATTGTCTCCACGGCTCCAGCTAGGATCTGAACCAAAAAATTCAACTTCAACTTCTTGTTTCACTTTACGAATATCGTCAGGGATGCTAACAGCCTACAAGAAAGTTCCAGAATATTAGGGGCACCATCACACTCAACATCCAGAAAGGCCTAGCAGAACTTTAGAAGAATAATCTAGTTCAATTCATTTGCACATGAGAATGAAAAGTGCACTTATATGATAAAAAAGGAAAGAGTGATTGAATCATATATGTAAAAGGTGGCAAACAACCACAATAGAAATGAAATGAATAACTCGTCTTTTAAGCTACAATAAATGTGAAAAGCCACATATGAGATATCAAGCCACATTTATTGGATGGGTCCGTTAAATGACGAGCTTACATATAACTGAAATAATCCTACCTCCCTTAACTGCATTAGCTGGTCTCGAGAATAGCAGATACGTTCATGGCCATCAAACCTAGACTCTCCAGTCTGTCATCAATAAAATAAACATTGCAATAAATATTAGAGACAAATTACAGATAATGAAGCATCATACTTCCCACAATCAAGAAAATATAAAAATTTACAGAATCGGGTGCAGAAGATACAAGGATCAATCAAATGACAACATGTGGATAAGCATCCCTACAACATACAAAAATATGCGGAACAAACTCTACACATAAGATAAGAAAAGGTACTATTATTAAGACTAGTGTCATCACTCGAAACAAAACATTCAACAATAAAGGTGTCAATTTACAATAAAGGCCCACAATAACTCATTTGTCATTCAGACGAAGTATATACAAAGGAACATTGACACGTTTCACATGATGTAAAAGCATGGCATTACATGAGGTGAATCAGAAATAGAACATCGGTGAAGCACATTAATCTAGAAAATCATAGTTACAGGCTATTATTATATTTTCCATATCCGCAGGTTTCTTTATGGACATCCTGGTACTCCTAGCATGCCCACCTAAAGCCTACATATACTGTACGTCCATATTTACAGCAACTACACATCTTAAGTGCGCTACCAAGAATTAGGACGATTACGAACTCAATCGAAGTTTGCATGGATAGAGACACTACTGAGGACTGCAACGGTAATAGTTCTGAGAAATAGAATCTGTAATCAATTTGCTCATGTCCTTTAAAGCTCGAAAAATACTTCAATGACATATACTATTTCCACCAAAAAAACTAATTCCAATTCTCAACAATAAGATATATGAATCCGAATTCCAACAAACTATAATTCATAGTTTCAAATCTTCAAATTTTCCCATCATATTTAAAATATAGATACACCATCTTGTGGGGTGGGTAAAAAAAAAAAAAAACGTTTGCGACTAAATTTGGCAGAGAAACAGTCTTCACTAAATTTGACTCAAAATTAAAATGAAACAAATGAGCACAAAACAACATTAATTCACAATCACAGGACCAAATCTCACACAACAGCTGCCATTAACAGAAGTCAGCAAATCCAAAAAAGAACAAAGAAAGCAAACAACTTTACAGCTGAATCAATCCACAACAGACCTAAAACCCCTAGATCTGAAAAGAATCCCTTTAAAACAACAACCTTGAAAGAGGGGAGCGAAGATGCAGCGGCACCGCCATGAGGAGGCAGTCGGGGGAGCTCGGAATTCGCCGCCGCCGCCGTAGAATCAAATCGAAGGCCGGTCACTCTACCGCCGCGGGCGCCGCCACCTGGTCTCAAGCTCAACACTGTCTGATCAGCCTGCATAACTCGCAAATCGGAAAACTCTGCGCCGTCCAATCTCAACACACAAAGCTCTTCTCAAAGGAAACCTAAAAGTGATCGATATATAACAAATATATATATATATAGAATTTTGCTATCTTTTTCCTTGTCGTGTTTATATACGTAAAAGATAGAGATAAAGAAGGTGAGAAGGGCAAAGGGTTACAGATTTCTAGAGAGAAATTTGAGTTTCCTCTCTCAGGGAGGAGGAGCTGAGAATGGAGTGTTACAGTCTGTTATGTAAGGTGGTGAAGAGAGAGAAAAACCCTTATTTAGAGGGGCTTGAGAGACAATAAGGTAAAGTATAGGGGGGTTTTCTATGAATTTTAAAAAATGTACAACATGCTTTGTGGGGTGCAGATTTATATAATACAAGGGTTTAAGGTGTGAATTGAAAATTTGCTTTGGGGGGAAGAATTGTTCTTTCAATCCTTTCTTTTCTTGGTTAGGTTAAGGATTTCTCTGGATTTAGGACAACTGGACAATGTGTAGGTTTTAGAAATTTCGGAACAAAATTACACGAATGTTGTGGTGATTTATTAGGATGTTTCATGTACAAATATGGGACTTTGCAAACTCCAAAGCGGTATCTATAGTTGAAAAAAAGAATACGGTACGGTATCATCTCGTCGGGCGTTTTAACTATTGGATTATCTATCTTATCTAACTACATGTAGATCCAACGATTAATACACCCTACAGCATGATACCGTAACGGAAACGAGCATTTCTCTATAAAATACACTTTTATCACTTTGTATTTGTATGAGATCAGATATTCTTGATTCAAATTAGATTCAATCTTAACAATTTATCGAAATGTACAAGTTTAACAAAGAGGAAAATATATTCTTATAGTAACTGTACTATTAATTGATATAAAAAAAAATATTAACTATATTGGTATCATGGTATGCCATTATAGCTTTAGAATAAAACTAGTAACGTGAGGAAATAATACTTTTTTAAGAGATATGCATATTTTATACTCGAATGTCATATATAAAAAATAATATAAATAAATGTCTAATATTCATATTATTTGCCTGTATTTTTTGTAAAAAGAAAAAAAAAAATAACCTTTATTGGACAACCTAACAACATTAAGTTTTATATTCACATATAATTTACGAAGATATAACGACGAATAATATAAGTTCACGTTCTTTTTAGATATATCGTGGTAGTAACTTTGGTTAACTCGTGTAGGCAATTAGAAGTTTTTTTTATAAATAAAAGGAAAAATTAGTGCACTATCTTTCATGTTTTTTATAATTTAATCACCACCTTTGTAATTTAACAATTTAATACACCACTTTGACTATTGTTTGCAGTGCGAATCATAGGGCCCAATCTGGGCTTTTTAGTGCTGACATGGCGTTGACATGTCATTTTTCTGTTCATATGGCATTCTACGTGTCAATGACATGACATTTTTCTACTGACATGACATTCCACGTGTCAATTAAAAAATAAAAAATTATGCTCCCCATGAGATTCGAACATGTGACATAAAGGTAATATGGTAGCAATGCCAGCATTACACGGTTACTTAATAAATCTAATAGCGTTTTATATGTATAGAGTTACACATGAATAAATCAAATTAAATTTAAAACATAATGTAGACTAAATTAATAAAATATAAAATTTTAATAAATTAAGTATTATAAAATTAAATGAGAATAAAATAATTTAAATAAATTAAGATAAAATATGTTATAGTAGAATGAATTTAAATTAAATTAAATTAAAATATATTTATATATTGATTATTTATTAATTTAATTATATAAATTTGGATATGAAAAATAATAATGATAAAAATAAATTAAAAAATAAACTAAATTATATTACACTAGTTAAAATATAAGAAAAATAATATAATACCAGAGGCTAGTCCTTTCGGTCATGATGCCTCCCAATCTCACTCTTGGGTCGGATACGGTGACGATGAAACACCTTCCCAGAGGCTAGTCCTTTCGGTCATAAGGCTTGGGATGACGATTATCAGGCCGATGATCGTCGGTGGGAGCCATCTTTTAGTGTCGACATTCTGAATTTCACAGTCTTTGACTATTCAGGGGCTTGTGCGAATGAGTAACGGTTGACCGCATATGAGGGTCCACCTCGTTTTGATGACGAGGGAAAAATCTAAGATACAGGTCAGCCTCGTTTTGATGACGAGGGAATGATCGAATATACGAGTTCGCCGATTTTATATGACGACGACCCAACTATGTTTGATGCACAGAGGTCGCCGAGTTTGTGGGTTCGCCTCTATTTGATGAGCAGTTGTCGACCGAGTATAAGGGTCCGCCTGCTTTTTATCACGAGGAAGTGGAAGCTGAAGCGAGAGATGTGATGGTGATGGGTCCACTATTAGAGCATCTCCAGTGCTATACTTTTGAAAGACTGTGAATTTTAACACATGTCAATCAATGATTGTAATGTTAATCCATCTAGGAATAATGTTAAAAAAGTAGAAATTTGAATCAAATTAGTATCTCTAATTCATCAATTTAATAATAAATTATTTGTATAGGTGGACCGATTAAAATAATCATTAATACAAGAAAAATAAAAAATCAAATAAAATATAAAGTGAATTAATTAGTCATCATGTTTAACATGGTGTTAGATATTAGAAAGTGTGCTCAAAATTGTCAACATTAAATGTTATCCACCTCATCATCAAAGAGCTCATGACAAGATGCATTGGAGAACAAATTAGTAACACACTTTCAAAAGTTGATGATATGGATGAATATTTATAATGTCAAAAGCCACATTGAAGATGTTCTTATGCTCATGGCGTCTAAGGTTCTCCACCAAAGGGATGGCTTCAGTAAATTCAATAGCTTAACTTTCATCCAGAATTCTGAAATCCGGCCTTGGCCGAACAAACTCCCGAAGGCCTCCAAAAGTTGCTTCCACAAATACCACTTTGGATTAAAAAAAATAAATAAATCCAAATTATGATCGGCTTGCTTGGCTATACAAATTCGTAGAGCATATAGGGCCTTACTTAGATAAGGCAATATCCCACATGGCAAAGCAAATAACACAACCCATTATAGTCGAGCAAATTCCAACATACAAACTCGATTTTGTAGAATTTAAAAAAAAATAAAAATTAATTTTGGAAAGTTCGTCGCCTTTTCAAGGAAAATATTATTTTAGTGAAGATAAGATGTGCCGGATTGTAGAGCAAATCTTTTTCGAGAGGAGAAAAATGATGAGATAAGAACAAACAAAATCTTTGGGATCATTAATTTAGTTATTATTCCTTTTATTTATTGTTAGTATTTTAATTATTCTACTCTTTCTATTTGGTAGGAATGACATTTAATTAACTTTTATTTGTTAGAAATGTTAGGACACTTAAGTTCTATTTAAGAGACAGTTTTGCTATGAAGCTATCGGATGATTTGACTTATGAAGTATCCATAGTTATTCACAAATAGTGTATTAACATGTGTCCTACAATAAATAAACTTTGTACAGGTGTCAATACATTAAGAAAACCATCTGATAACTCAATAGAATTTTTTATTAAGAAAACCCCTTCTCTTTTTGTCTAATGGTTTTATGAAATAAGAATATATTTTTCAGAGTTTTATCTCTTGTTTTTCCTTTAGTACGTTTTCGCTACGTCAACAAAAACCCCTACGCACACATCAATTTGCCCCAGAGTCATATCATCTCTATTTTTCACTTTGAATCATCACTAAAACACTAATAACGCCCTAAATAACATGCTACTGCTTTTGATAGTCGAATTGGCGAAAACGAACGTCAACCTTCGCAACTGATGTGATGTAGAACGTGTGCGTTGGGTGCTTGAGATACTCTCTCAAGACGATGATAAAT